TGGCACTTTTAGTCCTCCATATTAATACAGCCATCCATTGTTTTAAGACAGACAGACAGACAGATAATATGGAGCTATATTTTAAAAAGAGTAAAAGCTGTGAATGTGTACCTTGGATGCCTGAGCCCGCTGCAGCAGGGTAGACAGCGAGTGGGCTTTGGTGCCCTGAGGCTTGGCACTGGGCATTCTCAACACAGGTCGGGGGCTCTCCTCCATGACTCGGTCACTCACTGCTTTGATGTGAACCAGGAAGGAGCGGTACTTCCCTCCTGCCATGCCTGCAGTGGAGGGAGGAACAGGACAGAAACAGGACAGAAACACTGACACACTCACATCTTCATGGAGGATTCTCAGTATCATCTTCCTGAGCACACAAGCCCCAGTTGTCAGGGACCAGTGGGTCGGTAAATGTGACTGTTACCTTTGACCAGCTTGGGGCTGGTGAGGCTGAGCATGCCCGCATGGCCAGAGAGGTCCAGCCCACTGGCCAGCCACACTGGACCGCACAGGATATCCTCCTTGTGGTCCTCTAGGAATGGACACAGCACAGAGCCTACAGCAAACACATGAACATTTGATATGCAGCAGAAATAGATTCATTTTAACACAGTATTGATACTTTGGACCATGAGACCCCCGGAATACTGGGCTGTGTGCTGCCCAGTGGGCTCCAGAGAAAAAACACTTCCAAAATAGTTGGACCAGACTCAAGCTTCGTTGTATTCATCGCAATAAGGGTTGTCGCATGAAGGCATTTCCCTTCAGTTATTTAAGGTGGCTCAACAGTATCGGTATGGGGTATTACTAGCATTTTTGTTGTTTTTGCTAATTACTTAGCACTCTCCTGCCTGCTAGGTCTGTGACCCTGTTAACTGGCAACTTTCAGCCCAATAAAGTCTCCAGTTAATAAACATATTCCGCTAACAGTCGCTAGTTAACAGGGTAACTCATTAAACAAAAACACAACTGTGGCAAATTGGGATAAATATTATTTATTTCTGCATTTTATACTAAAAGACTGCTGGTGTTTCCAGTCAGGAGTTTTTCCAGAGCGAGTGAAGTGGAGGCTACGTGATTTTCTCCTGTGTGTTATTGTAATGCTAGGCTGTGAATTGTGCGATATTTAGTAGCGTGATGATGTGATGGCATGTGGGGTTGTGTGCTGTTGGCTTGTCAATAGCGTGGTATTTATTATTGCCGTTATCTTAACAGCCCTCATGGCAACAAAAGATAAAATTGGCAGCATGAACTGAAATGTAATTATTGTCATCCACAAACTGCAACTCATGTTTACAGGTGCAGGAACACAATAGATACAAAAAGAGAATGTTAGTGAATGTTAGTGAACTCTGGCCATTTTGACAAAATTCCTTAGACATTTGATAAAGGAAAATGACTTTTGCTGGCGATGATGCCCTCACTGAGGAATATGCTTACTGTAAAATGGACTTAAATTATTTGAGTGAGTTACCATAGGACAAATAAGTGTCGGCGATTTCTTAGACTTAAATAAAATAAATCCAAAAAGAAGTAGAAATAGTGTCAAACTGGTTGCATTCTTTACCTGACGTGTCCTCTATGTCCATGAATTGAATGTCCTCTGTAAAGTCATGCAGCAGAGGCTGTCCATTCCTCTCCCCATTGGCATGGAGGACATTGGAGAGGGGGAAGGAGATCTGTCTGTCTACCGCCGTCTCTGTTAAAGACATGACAAGAAAGATTCACACACGAGGTTCCATATTCAAAATATCCCAGGTCATTTTAGCTGCTACTGGAAAGACAAAAGAACTAAAATATCAGTCTACCAACATGGATGTATGTGTACAGTATTGGTAAATAGTAAATGGACCTGTACTTGTTATAGCGCCTTTCTAGTCTTCCGACCACTCAAAGCACTTTTACACACTACATGCCACATTCACCCTTTCACACACATTTACTCAGTGATGGCAAAGGCCATCAAACAGAAACTAACACATTCATACGAACCAACAACCTTCCGATTAGTGGACGACACGCTCTGCCCCTGAGCAACAGTATTAAGTATTAAGATTAGTATTAAATTAAATTTATTAAATTAGTGTTAAAAAATATTTCATAAAGAACAATCTCAAAGCAGTGTCCTCACCGCTGACTTTGCCCAGCCCAGGTGCTTTGTTCTTCAGCAGAGTGACCTGGATCTGAGGAATGTTGACGATGTTGGCATTCAGAACAAACTTGAAGTCCACATGGCCCACCATGCAGGCCTTGGGCAGCACCAGCTCAAACACATGCTCGTCCCAGCTGGAGCTGCAGAGAGGACACGGGTCAGTAACTGCTTAAACTTTCAAGTGAACTATTTTAGACAGCCTTTCCATCACTAGTCAGCCTTCCAAATATTTGTTTTTAAAGCCACCCAACCAAATGCTGACCCTACAAAAAGGTTCTGATTTAAAATCAGACTTGTCCTCTATTAAATATGTAGGAGTTTGTGTCCACAAAAACATTTCCAAAATGTATGAAATGTATGGCCCTATTATTGAGACAATTAAAGCAGACCTTGACAGGTGGTCCTAATTGCCGCTAGACATTTCATATAGAAAGATACTGTAACTATTCCAGGCACTTCCTGTAGAATTCAGTGGATGATTCACGATGTGTTTGGAACAGTAAGAGGACCCAGATAAAATATAAGAGCCTACAACTACATAGGCTAGCAGCAACTAAGTGGAAAGATTCTGAAAGAATGCAATTTCCCTGCAGTCTATATTGAGTAACTGCAAACAACAGGATAATAATCTGGATAAACAAAATGAACCAATGGACCAAGGTAGCCCCTACGGTATGGTTAAGTTCCTGCCAAAGGGTTCACTTTGAAAAGCATGCAATGACACTGAGATGGATGGGATACAAAGCAGAGTTTAAGGCTTCTTATATTGAAATACAGTTCAAGCAGAGTGTGCAGAACTGTAACTGCTGATAATGAATTAGACTTTTCCTAAATACATATAACCTTAAAAAAAAAAGATTTCCTCCAATATCCCCAGGTTAGAGATTACTTTAGTCAAGAAATTAAACAAAAGAGGAAGGTGCCCTTCACCTTAAACCGTGTGTAGGATTTAGTGGCATCTAGCGGTAAAGTTGCAGATTGCAACCAACTGAAATCACTCGGTTCAAGTAAGTGTGTAGGAAAAACTATGGTGGTTGCTAAACTAAAGGCCCTGTGTAGAGCCAGTAGGGCTGAGCAATTTTATCGATCCTGTGATATATATCGATATTTTGTTTCCCCAGAAAGTATCGATTTTTCAGCCGCGAGTATCGATACATTAAGTCCCATTCAAATCCCCCGTGTTCCGCC